ACTGGGTGACCTTGGCCAAGTCACACTCTCTCAGCCTCAGGGGAAGGAAAGACCAACCCCAAACCCGAGCAAATCTTGCCAAGAAAACCACGATAGGGCTGCCTTAGGGTCGCTCTAAGGCGGAAATGACTTGAAGGCACACACAACACCAAGGAGTTTTCCAACTTGGTAAGGTAGAAGAAGTTGGACCGTGAACTAGCTGGGTCTAGCTCCACCCACCTGGGGCTGGCCCCACCCACAACCCCACCCTCCCAAAGGGGCATCAGCCTTTGAAGAAGCCCCTCAAAGCTTTCCACCACCACAGAGGCATCACCTTATAGATCGTTCACCACCGCTTCCCCCTTCCTCTCCTCACCATGACTTTAATAAGTGTCTGAGCTGTCCAATGCAAAAGCCTGGAAGGAAGCTTCAGTTTGGTAAGGCTTGCCTTGGTACTAACCAAACCGAGTCCCCATCATCCTTCCACCTTAGACCTTTCACCACCACTTTCCCTCTATTCCCCTTCCCACCATGAGTTTAAACATCTGATCCAATCAATGTCTGAGTAGTCCAACTCAGAAGCCTGGAAGGAAAGTTTGCTATGATCCCCATCCAAATGCATTTATGTCCCTGCAATGCAAAGAGAGGACTCATTGGAAAAGACAATACTGGGAAAGGTGGAGGTAACTAGGAAGAGAGGAAGGTCACAGGCCAGATGGAGGGACTAGAATCATAGAATCATAGAGTTGGAAGAGACCCCAAGGGCCATCCAGTCCAACCCCCTGCCATGCAGGAACTCGCAATCAAAGCATCCCCGACAGATGGCCATTAAGGAGGTCACAGATATGAATGTACAGGCATCACTGTATTACTGTCATGTAGGATAGTAATCATATTCCCTATTACCATGTATGGATGTGAGAGTTGGACAGTTAAGAAAGAAGAAAGAAGATAGGAGGAAAATCAATGCATTTGGAGAAGAGTGCTGAGGATCCCATGCATGACACCCAAAAGGACAAAGAAATGGGTCCTAGAGCAGATCAGTCCAGAGATATCCCTAGAAGACTTAGACTGTTGGACTTTGGACACATCATGAGAAGAGAAGATTCATTGAAAAAGGCAATCATGCTGGGAAAGATAGAAGGAAGTAGGAAGAGAGGAAAGCCACGGGACAAATGGAGGGACTCTGTTAAGGAAGTTACAGATATTAAGGGGTTGCAGGAATTAAGCAGAGCACTGGAGGACAGGGGGTCTTGGCGATGTCTCATCCATAGGGTCACCCTGAGAAAAGAGGACTCTTTGGCAAAGACCATAATGCTGGGGAAAGTGGAGGGAAGGAGGAAGAGAGGAAGGTTGCATGCCAGATGGAGGGACTCAGTGAAGGAGGTCACTGTGGGTATTTATTTATTAAGGGGCTGCAGGGATTAAGCAGAGCAGGGGAGGACAGAGGGTCTTCCTGGAGAGGTCTCATCTATAGGGTCGCCATGAGTCGAGATCGACAACAACAACAACAACAAATGGCCCAGTTGCAGCCTCTTGGTGATTTGAAGCAAGGAGGGGGGGGGATGGGGTCGATCCTGGGGAGACTCATGCTCAACTTTCCAGCCTTTCTATCTCCTCCTCCTCCTCTTCCTCCCCCCCCCCCCCCCCCCCCGTCCCACCTGGTAGGTGGCGAGGTCGTGGCCGTGGCGCTCCTCGATGTCGTTGATCTGCCTCTCGAGGGACTCCTTGGTGCCCCGGACGGACTCGAGCTCGATGCTCTTGGCCTGGAGCTGCCGTCGGTACTCGGCGATCTCCTCCTTGGCGGAGCGGATGGCCTCCTTGTTCTGCTCGGCGGCCTCGCTCAGCTTGGCGTAGCGGCATCGGAACCACTCCTCGGCCTGGAGCAGGTTCTGGTCGGAGTGGCACTCCAGCTGGGAGCGGATCTCCTTGAGGGCGGCCGAGAGGTCGGTCTTCAGGTAGTCCTTGCGCTGCTCGACGGCGGCGGCGGAGGCGGAGGAGGAGGCCTGGATCTGGGCCAGCAGCTCGGCCACCTCCTCCTCGTGGTTGCCGCGCAGGAAGGCCACCTCGTCCTGGAGCGACTGGACCTTCTTGTCCAGCTCCACCTTGAGCAGCGCGGCCTCCTCGACGTCCTTGCGGAGGGCGCGCGTGACGGCCTCGGTGTCGTCGCGGAGGCGGGCCTCGTCCTCGAAGCGCTCCTTCAGGCGCTGGATGTCCTCCTCGAGGTGCTCGGCGTCCAGCTGCAGCGCCGCCTTCTCGTGGCTCACCTGCTCCAGGGCCCCGCGCAGCTCCCGCAGCTCCTG